ACACACACAAACAAAAGCATGTACACACACACACACACACACAAATATATCATCATCATAAAAATAATGACAGGAATATTATACCTTATTTCATAGACGCTAGCATCACTGTAGGTATCTAACTAAATTAACCATTATACATTTCAAGTTCTTTTGTAGCAGGTGCAAGATAATACGAATGATTTAAATACCCGATATTTTGTCAGTTATCTGCGATTTCCATTCATGCACGGGGACATGATTACTGAAGGCATAGAAGTCGTACGCTTGATAGACCATGGATTGCAAATACGTCTAATGTACCACTGACTGACTGACTGAGTTTTGGTTTTACGCCGCTTTTAGCAATATTCCAGCAACATCACGGCGGAAAACACCAGAAATGGGCTTCACACATTGAATCCATGTGGGGATTCGAACCCGGGTCTTCGGCGTGACGAGCCAACGCTTTAACCACTAGGCTACCCCACCGCCCTCTAATGTACTACCTTGTTGCAGATTACTCACACATTGATGCATTATGCATTGCCTAGTAGCAGCTGACAAGGGTGCAACAGTTCAACGAATATATTGGAAAATGTCATGTCTTATAAATGGCAATATGCTGAAACAAATGTAGAGAAATATTTACTCTCCAAAGCTGTATATTTAATCTTTAAAAGTAAATGTTCTATAAACTACATGTTGTAATAGTTCCATATTTTGCGTTTCAACTCCCTACATTATATCGGTATGTTTTTTTTCCTGAAACGTGCCTGCAGCGTGATATATTGAATAAACGTTATAACGCATAGAGTGTTACTATGTCAATCCTTTCACTGTCCATAACTGGAAATTAGAATAACATACTTCACGAATCAGTGGAATGAGCATGGCTTTAAGTGGCACAAACTATTTTATTTTTTTTTTATAATTGATATTTTTTATTTCTTGCTTCCCCTGTTACAGATAGGGCCGAAAAGCTAGGGGACTCTAAGGTCCTTTGCAAGAAGGTTAATTGATCACAGGAAAAACAGGATTTTTTTCTAACAAAGCACAAAACAACAACACCAGACACCACAACACATTCACTCACCAATCACACTTACAAGCTTCAAATATTTACAGTAAGTTTAAGTTCAAGTCCATTCAGCCTATATTTTTCATTAGGGAGCAAGAAGAAAGAATTCAGAAAATCATTTAAAATTTGCAAAATCAAATATAACATCCAATTTTTATAAAACTTATCCTGTTCACTTTTACTGAAGGATATATTCTTTTCAATAAAATACCTATCTTGTAAATAATGTCTAAAATGTTTAAAACTAAAAGTAGTTTTTAATACCTTAGATTTATATATGAAGAATTTAGCTAGCAACAATATTAAACCAAACACATCATCAGTATATACATTTGTTCTCATTCCAAACACAGTAAGCACAAACTATTGATACATACAACGAGACTCAAGGACTTTAATTGATAAATATCGGTACTTGGTAGGTTTTCTGCCAAAACACAAATGTTTTTTAATATTTTGGATTTGGATTTTAATTAATTTATTTACCACAACTGCATCCGAATAGTGTATATATACTCATATTACGCAGGCATATCTGACTGGCCAGACAATCCACATGTATTATAATGAAATCTTAATTTGGTTTTGATGAATGAGTGAGGGAAAAGAGTTCTCATCCATGGTCGGCAGGGCAGTATCACATTTAGCCCAGATAGACCAGTGCCCTCAGCATGACCTACTGTGTCAGCTCACACGACGAAGCCATGGCATGTCAAATACACCTCCACTGTACCTGTGCAGCTACAACTTAGGGGTGCAGTACCCCATGTGGTCCTCCTCGCTTCTTCAGCTTATCTGGGGCGGTGGGGTAGCCTAGTGGTTAAGGCGTTGGCTCGTCACGCCGAAGACCCGGGTTCGAATCCCAACATGGGCACAATGTGTAAAGCCCATTTCTGGTGTCCCCCGCCGTGATGTTGCTGGAATATTGCTAAAAGCGGCGTAAAACCAAACTCAGTCAGTCAGTCAGTCTTCAGCTTATCTACACCCACAATAAAACTCAATAAAAAATTGCAATTCTTCAGCATATCCAAACGTTGTATTCACAATGCACAACACATAACCGGTAATATGCATCTGTCTATGCATGACTTGACTATCAAAGCAGCTTCTTAAGAAATGCATTTTCATTAATCGTCAGGAGAATTTTCACTAATAGCTTAGCAAACTGTATCACCACTTCTTACAATAGAGCACAAGGAAGCACCTGCAAATTCATCGCTTACAACAGTGCACAAGAGAGCACCTGCAAGTTCATCACTTACAACAGTGCACAAGAAAGCACCTGCAAATTCATCACTTACAATAGTGCACAAGAGAGCACTTGCAGGTTCATCACTTACAACAGTGCACAAGAGAGCACCTGCAAGTTCATCACTTACAATGGTGCACAAGAGAGCACTTGCAGGTTCATCACTTACAACAGTGCACAAGAAAGCACCTGCAAGTTCATCACTTACAAAAGTGCTCAAGAGAGCACTTGCATGTTCATCACTTACAATGGTGCACAAGAGAGCACTTGCAGGTTCATCACTTACAACAGTGCACAAGAGAGCACTTGCATGTTCATCACTTACAATGGTGCAAAAGAGACCACTTGCAGGTTCATCACTTATAACAGTGCACAAGAGAGCACTTGCAGGTCCATCACTTACAACAGTGCACAATAAAGCACCTGCAAGTTCATCACTTAGGATAGTGCCCAAGAGAGTACCTGCAAGTTCATCACTTACAATGGGAAACAAGAGTGCACCTGCAAGTTCATCACTTACAATAGTGTACAAGAGAGCATCTGCAAATGCATCACTTACAGTGGTGCACAAGAGAGCAATTTCATCAATATATCCAAATCCACAATAAAACTTGCTAAAACATGCACTCCTTCAGCATATCCAAATCCACAATAAAATTTACTAAAACATGCACTCCTTCAGCATATCCAAACCCACAATAAAACTTGCTAAACAAGCACTCCTTCAGCATATCCAAACCCACAAGAAAACTTACTAAAACATGCACTCCTTCAGCATATCCAAACCCACAATAAAACTTACTAAAACATGCACTCCTTCAGCATATCCAAAACCACAATAAAACTTACTAGCACATGCACTCCTTCAGCATATCCAAATCCACAATAAAACTTACTAAAACATGCACTCCTTCAGCATATCCAAACCCACAATAAAACTTGCTAAACAAGCACTCCTTCAGCATATCCAAACCCACAAGAAAACTTACTAAAACATGCACTCCTTCAGCATATCCAAAACCACAATAAAACTTACTAGCACATGCACTCCTTCAGCATATCCAAACCCACAATAAAACTTACTAAAACATGCACTCCTTCAGCATATCCAAATCCACAATAAAACTTACTAAAACAAGCACTCCTTCAGCATATCCAAACCCACAATAAAACTTACTAAAACATGCACTCCTTCACTATAAAATTCACTAAAATATGAATTCCTTCCACAGATCCACTAAAAATAAACTCACTAGTCACATGCGTATACAGCCTAACATCCTGAACGTGCACTTCTTATGAATCTTTCATAAATATCGAAAGATTTAGTCCTCTTTATTCGTCGATATGCCCAAACTCTCATTTAAACACCATGAGACAAGTGCATTTTCAACATATCACAACCTAACCAAGAAACTCCCGAAAATGCACATTTTCCTAACTCATCTCCAATGTAATTTTACGTCCATTCTGTTCATTACACAGGTTAACCATGACAGTACGCATGATGAGCTCCTCGTCTTCAACAAGAATCAACATGAAAATAACCGTCCACGTCTATAATGGGCACACGTTAGTTGTAACACTTGTTAGGGGATTCAGACTATGTCCTCTCTAGAACAGGGGGGGCAGACAATGCATGCAAGAACTGTTGGAAACACAGAACACATGGACAAAAGCGTGAACTTCTTTAAAAGTATACTGATGACAAAATGTTGTCTTACAACCAGCCTCAAGTCATTGTTACATGTTTCGTGACGCCATCTTTACTTCTCTCGGTGTAACGTGTGCATGCTTGTATACTAGAGTCTGGTATCCTTAAGTCAGGACATTAGGTGATCTAAGCATGCTTGTGTTGGATACCTCCACATGGCCCACCTAGTATTATTACTTCCGATAAAATTAAGGGCAATCAAAGTCTGTACAACACTCACCAAACTTTTTAAATGAATCTACACTACAAAAACAGCCATTTTTGTATCTTTCAAAATGAGTATAAATTTATATATTTCTATTTATGAATGCACGCATGTTTGTGAACTGCATCATATACATTCCAGTGCTGTGACATACCAAGGATCGAACTATTTCAAAAACACTCCCTGTAACACCTACACAGAAACTAAACTTAAATGCAATAAAATGTTCCTCAATATATTAATGAGGAAGTTAAAACGCAAATTACTCAGACGTCAAGACGGGGCGGGAGGGTGGGGGCTGACTCGGACACTGCCAAATTACTGGGGAAAGTTTTAACTTAGAGGAACGGTGAAACATATAAACGATTGCAAAACTAAATTGATTCTGAGTCAACCCACGTGGGCTGGAGGTGTATATCAGCGATATCACACCGCAATATGTTACATAAGACGAACCAAGGCAACCGACATCTCAAGGTGATCATCGCGTATTTCATCATGTTTATATATGAGCGTAAACAACGTATTTAACCTGTAAAGTCTGTCACACCAGGATGTTCAGCATGAAAAGTGCTTATGATTGCTGTATCCAGCCTTCTGACAGAGGAGAGGGTTGGGGTCGGGATACCGTGTCTCTGTCAGCTGACTGTGCGCACCGGGTAACATGTCCCGTCAATCTGTGTATAAGATAGGTGCATGACCTACTATATATCGGGCCTTCACTAAGGTAATGGCTAACAACAGTGAGTCGAGAAAATAGTGTCTACCCTACCTTTTCTCATCGCATGCAGCAAACTTTCATACTTCTTCTGGTATGCCTCATATTCCCTGCGGATTTTGCGAATGGTTCGATTAACTGTTTTCTCCATTCGGTGTTCAACACGCTTAACAATACTGTGTTGGCATTGGCGCCCACAATGTCGAAGACGGTCATTATGACGATGCTTTTTCAAGTCGAAGTGTTGGACGTGGATGACGAGAATGATTAGCGTCAAGGTAAGCACACGGCCATTCATGACCACAGAACTAGCCCTTCTAGTTGGCCCACGCGGATCATTCCTGCTCTCTTGAGACACCTCGCTCCATTCAGCGTTTACAGTGCTAGGAACACCACACTCAACGCCACAAACAGGAATTAATAAGGACGGAACGACGTCGAAGTGAACGCCAAATTGATCCCCATATCCCAGGCTCACTGTAACCTCGGGTACATGTGTTCCTTGAATACGTGGTATCCGAATTAAACCACTTTCTTCCCAGGGACCGAATGAATGACATATCGTAGTGAAGACATTGTTTGAATGGCTGTCTCGCCAGGTGACAAGCTTCGCACAACCAGGGGAATCAGCACAGCACTTTACACGGTGACACACTAGCAGGTATAATGTGGAATATCACACGCGTTGTGGTCCTGTCTTAATTTAGAAATCAACACTAATGCTGGCACTAATTTTCACAGTGGATGTGCCCATTTGCTAAACCGCCCACTATCTATGGCCACAGGCAGGTTGATTGGACGGACTGGATAGGCGGTCAACGTGATCAGCTGTTGGGTTGAGGTGTAGCCATACGGTGTATTTATGAATGAGTGAAACTTAACACATATCGCGAAATCAGATCGCTACATGTCCACAAACATGTCTCCTCGATATAAAACCGGGTAGGGATTCGGATGGGTTGTGAAATGTCATATATAAGACTGAAACCGGTTCGTTGATCCGGTTTAAGCTGATATATACGTACCCGGAAGTGGGTTCTTTAATGGTGAGACACTTTAACTACGAAGCTAATTAGGTCTGTGCGTGATGATTAAACGGTGTAAGGGGTGTAGCGTTAACATTAAACCTAACACAGGTAAGTTGTAGAAGCGTGGATGTACCTTGCACTGTGCGGGTACTCATTGATAGTTTTGACATGTTGGGCTTTGTATTCGCAATGCATAATGCATAACCGGTTACATGCAGCTGTACATGCATGGTTTGACTATGAAACTAGCTTCTGAATGAATGCATTTTCATTATTTTCCAAGTCAAGAGAATTTTCACTTCGAACTAAACAAAAGAGAGCACCTGTAAAATCACTACTTCTTACAAAAGAGCACCTGCACGTTCATCATATACAATAGGGAGCATGGGAAGACCTGCAAATTCATCTCTTACAATAGTGTACAGTAAGCACCTGCACATTCATCACTTACAATAGTGTACAGTAAGCACCTGCAAATTCATCTCTTACAATAGTGTACAGTAAGCACCTGCACATTCATCACTTACAATAGTGTACAGTTAGCACCTGCACATTCATCATTTACAATAGTGTACAGTAAGCACCTGCACGTTCATCACTTACAATAGTGTACAGTAAGCACCTGCACATTCATCACTTACAATAGTGTACAGTTAGCACCTGCACATTCATCATTTACAATAGTGTACAGTAAGCACCTGCACGTTCATCACTTACAATAGTGTACAGTTAGCACCTGCACGTTCATCACTAACAATAGTGTACAGTTAGCACCTGCACGTTCACCATTTACAATAGTGTACAGTTAGCACCTGCACATTCATCACTTACAATAGTGTACAGTTAGCACCTGCACATTCATCATTTACAATAGTGTACAGTTAGCACCTGCACGTTCATCACTTTACAATAGTGTACATAGTGTACAGTTCATCATTTACAATGGTGTACAGCACCTGCACGTTCATCATTTAGTGTACAATAGTGTACAGTAAGTTAGCACCTGCACGTTCATCACTCAACAATAGTGTACAGTTAGCACCTGCACGTTCATCACTTACAATAGTGTACAGTTTTACAATAGTGTACAGTAAGCACCTGCACGTTCATCACTTACAATAGTGTACAGTAAGCACCTGCACGTTCATCACTTACAATAGTGTACAGTTAGCACCTGCACGTTCATCACTTACAATAGTGTACAGTTAGCACCTGCACGTTCATCATTTACAATAGTGTACAGTTAGCACCTGCACGTTCATCACTTACAATAGTGTACAGTTAGCACCTGCACGTTCATCATTTACAATAGTGTACAGTAAGCACCTGCACGTTCATCACTTACAATAGTGTACAGTTAGCACCTGCACGTTCATCATTTACAATAGTGTACAGTTAGCACCTGCACGTTCATCACTTACAATAGTGTACAGTTAGCACCTGCACGTTCATCATTTACAATAGTGTACAGTTAGCACCTGCACGTTCATCACTTACAATAGTACAGTTACAGTTCATCATTTACAATAGTGTACAGTTACCAGCACGTTCAGCACCTACAATAGTGTACAGTTAGCACCTGCACGTTCATCATTTATAATAGTGTACAGTTAGCACCTGCACGTTCATCACTTACAATAGTGTACAGTTAGCACCTGCACGTTCATCACGTTCATTACAATAGTGTACAGTTAACACCTGCACGTTCATCACTTACAATAGTGTACAGTTAACACCTGCACGTTCATCACTTACAATAGTGTACAGTTAACACCTGCACGTTCATCACTTACAATAGTGTACAGTTAGCACCTGCACGTTCATCACTTACAATAGTGTACAGTTAGCACCTGCACGTTCATCATTTACAATAGTGTACAGTTAGCACCTGCACGTTCATCATTTACAATAGTGTACATGCACGCGTTCATCATTTACAGTAGTGTACAGTTACAGCACCTGCACGTTCATCAATAGTGTACAGTTAGCACCTGTCACAGTTACAATAGTGTACGTTAGCACCTGCACGTTCATCAATAGTGTACAGTTAGCACCTGCACGTTCATCATTTACAAATACAGTTAGTGTACAGTGTAGCACCTGCACGTTCATCACTTACAATAGTGTACAGTTAGCACCTGCACGTTCATCAGTTACACCTGCACGTTCATCACTTACAATAGTGCACACCTGCACGTTCATCACTTACAATAGTGTACAGTTAACACCTGCACGTTCATCACTTACAATAGTGTACAGTTAACACCTGCACGTTCATCACTTACAATAGTGTACAGTTAGCACCTGCACGTTCATCACTTACAATAGTGTACAGTTAACACCTGCACGTTCATCATTTATAATAGTGTACAGTTAGCACCTGCACGTTCACCATTTACAATAGTGTACAGTTAGCACCTGCACGTTCATCATTTATAATAGTGTACAGTTAGCACCTGCACGTTCATCACTTACAATAGTGTACAGTTAGCACCTGCACATTCATCACTTACAATAGTGTACAGTAAGCACCTGCACGTTCATCACTTACAATAGTGTACAGTAAGCACCTGCACGTTCATCACTTACAATAGTGTACAGTAAGCATCTGCAAATTCATCACTTACAACAGGACACACGAGCGCACCTGTAAATTCCCCTCTTCTTGTATACAGGCACTCGTATAACCAGCTTGGGAAATGCAAACCGAAGGACCCTTCCTTGTAAAGACATACGCAGTGTCTGACCATGTAAGTAGGTAAATGTGTTTGTTTAACGACGCACTCAGCAGTATTCCAGATCTGTGACTGCGACATACTAGTTATTCAAATTATTAGCAACAGCGGTCGACGCCGACAGGTACGACGACAACCAAATCACCGAGTTCGACCACCTCTTAAGACCGGCATAAGTTGCTGGCAACCTGCTTTTAAAATACCCCTAATTCCCTTGGGTGAGTATAACAGGGCGTACAAGCCGGAATATGACCAGCCAAGGGAGCTGGATATACTCCCTGGTCACAAAAAAGCAGCACAAAGTGAATGTATGAATTGGAGAATAGGCGATCTAAACCGGAACTGTGCACATTAACTTGTGTACCCTAGAATGGCCTCTATTAGAAACTCTCCGAAACATTTGCCACGAGTTAGCTCCGTTGGTTCCCACCGGAAGTCAGCGAAGGTCGAGCTTATGACACACCACGCGGAAGTCGAAGTTTCAAATATCAAGAAAACGGAAACAATATGTGAAAAAGGACACTTTTCCTAGTCTGAGATAGATATTTAGGGGTCAAACACGCCGGAATATTTTCGCTGCCAAACATGCCGCTTGGCACACGCAAACCAAGGGCAGATAAGTATATGTGTTTGATTTAGGTTACACATCTCAACATGCACCTCGCCTTCAGTGCAAATAGTCCTAGGGTCGCGAGTTCATATCGAGAGTTGACTTGTAATGTCCTAGGCTCCTAGCATAAGTGAGTGCGTTTGGTGCACGCCGCTTTGAGCAATATACTTTCGACATTGCAACTTGGTGTGTCAGGAACGGAATGGGAGTTTACGTCACTAGTAAAACACACGACCCTGGGTGCACGAGGAATGTTTATGGATGTGGAAGGACGTAGCTGTTCACAGGTGCACCTCCGACCACTGCAACACCGTCAACATACAACATCGGTAGGGGCGGACACTATGTCGCTAACATTCGAGTAGTCCACAGCTTTGGTACTACATGTTTCTTATTGTACCATACATATGTCGTATTCTGACACCCATTCTATTATTTTCAATGTACCCGACAAACATTTTGCGTATGTTTCTTTCTCTGTCTGAACTGCCGAACTCTTGGCATTATTTCTACATATTTAGTTTCTTTAATTAAAGACGTCGTTCCTTGGATTGTTTTAATATTTTCCGAATTGGATGTAACTGAGGAAATAACTGTAGGTTTGTTTTCTGTCTGCTTTTTTTCTGATGAATGTGGAAAATTTGCTAATTGGATAAATGCCTAATTGTGGCAGGCTACTTTTAACGATTTGGACAAGAACATGCAAACATACATGCATGCAATATATTTCGGTGTACGTTGAGATAAATTCGTTATGAAATTGTGTACACTCTATTTATGTTCCTGGACCTAAACGAGGGCACATATACTAACATAGAGCTCGTCCGACATGCCGGTGGATGACTTGGTGTGAGCAGCCCTTCAAGATTCACACGTCTCGGGGCTAATGAATCTGTGCCTGCCTGACCTTGATAGACAATGACGTTCCAGTACTAACATATGTCTGTAACGTCTTGTACGGCCACTGTAAAGTGAGGCCGCAGAACGCCTTGAGGTTGTTTTATACAGGTACACCTTGTCCCGTTACTGTGTAAAGATAATTCCGAGACACTAAAATCGGGGAAAAATGCAGCCTCTAGATGCCCCAGTATACCTACAAGTATGAATGGAAATAAATACGCCCCAGAGAGTCGAGTTGAGTTGAGGACAATGGCGACTTGCTTACGTACAGTATTGACAGTAGTACGGCCGGGCAAGGCTTCGTATAATAAACCTAACACAGACAATTCAAAGACACTGACAGGCCTTTGCATCCGACAACCCGTAGCTCGTCATCGCGACATGTACAGCTACAGGTGTCCGCTGTTCTATGAATTGATATCACAGGTGTGAATGAGGCATCTTTGGTTATGCATTTGAGTTTGAGCAAGTGAATATTGAAGGGGCAATTCACCGCAAGAGGGCGTTGCTTGATGTTTACCTCATGAACAGGGATACACTATTGTAGACGAAAATCGACGAAGCGTTGTCGGCAAATGTTTAGGACAGGTAATAGGAAACATATCTATAGAAAGATAATAGGAAATATATACTGAAGATACATCAATTCTTGTAATCGTGCAATTACCTTTAAAACTGCACAGAAAATTAACAATAAAACGATGTATACCAACCGAACCATAGCTACATATTGGCAGGGTATATTACACCAACTCTATGGGAGGTGAATCATACCCAGAAAGATTGTACATCCAAACCAAAGTATTGGTGAGTGAGTGAGTGAAATTGGTTTTACAACAGTGCAACACAGTTCAAGGCGGGGTAGGGGTGGGTGGTGAGGGTGTAGCCAAGGGGTTACTCGGTTCGATTCCCCACATGGGTACAATGTGCGAAACCCGTTTCTGGCGTTCCCCGCGTTATATCGCTGGAATATTGTTAAATGTGTCCTAAAGTCACACTCACTCACTCACTCACTCACTCACTCACTCACTCACCCGTGAAGGTCCGGGTTAGAATATTGATCTCCAGTAACCCGTGCTTGTCGTAAGAGGCGACTAACGGGATCGGGTGGTCTGGATTGCTGACTTGGTTGACACATGTCATCGGTTCCCAAATGCGTAGATCGATGCTCATGTAGTTGATTACTGGATTGTCTGGTCCAGACCCGATTATTTACAGACCGCCGCCATATAGCTGGAATATTGCTGAGTGTGGCGTAAAACTAAACTCACTCACTCAAAGCATGGGGACATACCCGTCTTATACACGGGTCTTAAACGTTCACCAGGTTTACTGAACCCATGGACGGACCTGCTGCAGATAAACAATGCATCAAGAAACAAAGGAGACTTGGGATTCGAACACAAGATCACAGTTGTACCCGGAACACGTAGAGACGTAAATGTGCGCAATGGATGTTGACATATGTACAAATCACCCTACTAGCAATAACATGAAACGTTTCAGTCCGAAGTTTCTCGTCACAACCCGAAGTTCTTGCTGACCCTGACATAAAGACAGCTACAATGTTTACTCTTTTTGAAATGGCAATCTGACCAACTGTGATGAGCGAAGTCATTGGAAACTAGGTGAAACCGGCAAAAAATAGTCAAATGTTATGATAGTTAGCACAATTATCAATAATGAAATGGTCAGTTTTAGAAGGTGGTTAAGATGTCTGAGACAAATAAGTAAGTGGCATTGAAAACTAGCTGTTGGCATTCACTGATCTGCGCGCGGTGCGTTGAGTCTATATATCGGGCACGCGTCCATTGCATGGTAGTGATTCAGCAGGTGTAATCAGTGACAGCAAGTGTGAAAGCAGGAAGTGAAAAACGAAACCTGAACATCAGTCGGCACACGGTAGTATTACTGAAAAGCCAAACACCACCCCCACCCCAAAAAATAATAAATATTTGAATAAATATGAAAAAAACCAAAAACAACCCAGATCTGTAGAGGCATCCCAATTGATGAATTCATTAGTGCCAACAGTAACTCGAATACAACGCATATTTTATACTTTCATCGTGGATGTTTTTTGCTTTAACTTGGCAGGCCTCGAATACATACATCTCCACCTATATCTAGGCGGTTACTTAGGCAAGAACGTCGTGTAGCGCAATGCAGGCAGTGTAGGGACCTATGGAGGGTCCCCGCAGTCCTAAAGCACCATATAGAGACTTGTGATAGATCCGGGGTAGAATAGGTCTTCAGCAACCCATGCTTGCCACAAAAGGCGACTATGCTGTCGTAAGAGGTGACTAACGGGAACCGGTGGTCAGGCTCGCTGACTTGGTTGACACATGTCATCGGTTCCCAATTGCGCAGATCGATGCTCATGCTGTTGATTGTCTGGTCCAGATTATTTATAGACCGCCGCCATATACATGTAGCTGGAATATTGCTGAGTGCGGCGTAAAACTAAACCCACTCACTCACTCATTATGTTCAATCGCTGGAATATACCCTACTGCCCCATTTAGAAAACTTTCACTCACTCGATCACTAACTAAAATGTTAGTTGTTATATGATAGTTCAACGTTGTGGTGAAATATCTTAATCAAAAACATCGCAACATCCGAGTGGAGAATATCACACTTTAATCAACAACAAAGTGATGAAGACCAAACGGGTGGCAGGGTTAGCACTTCAAAGGGATATTACGTGCGCTTCAGTTGATATACATGTAGTTAGCAGTGCGAGAAAGCAGGAAGGTTTCCCCACAACTAGCACTATAACAGTTTGTTTTAGGGGTTAGCTTGGCGATGACGGGTTAACTAACCTATCAGTGACAATGGGAGGTGGGAATGAGTTGTTTTTTTCCTCCTTACCTAAGGTGTTGGACGTGTGTAGTGTCTTAAACCGCAGAATGAACGGCGCTGGTAACAGTCTCGTCTAAACAGGCTGATAGTGTATGCATTACTATGCAATGAACGTCATACAATATGACGACGTATAATCAGACCCGCTCTGTGCCAAGGATTGAACTCCCCAGATGACCGACTCCTCTATAATAGGAGGCAAGAGAGCACCTGTTGAATTTGCCTCTGCCTATAACAGCGAGCACCTGCAAAGTCAACACTAGGATGGAGAGCAAAAAAGCAGATAGTTTATATTTCCCAACTAGGTGAGACACATAATGTTCGTGAATTACTGTTATACCGACTTAAGGCGTGGTGGTATTGCGTACTAAAACAGCGAATACTGGAGTCGCTATAAGCTGCCTTGCTACAAGACATTCCCGTTGTACATGATTGGTCGAGTACCGGAGATCAGGCAGTTTATTTCAGTCATGGAAGAACACTATAATTTGATTGGGCTACTATTTTTAGCTTCATGTCATTCGAACCCGCCACTTACAAAGGTTTGATTGCAATAGGGTCCAGGGTATATATCACAATAGATCACGGATTGAACACACAGGATCATGAGAGATCGGGTTGTATATACCAGGCACAATCTAATCTCAGGTTTCGACTCATTGCTGTTCGGGTCAAGTTACAAGCGATGTTTTAACGACGTTTAGTACAAACTTACGTATTTAGCACAATACGTTCCATGTTTGGAATGAGCTTTTGAAGCATATACACAAGGCAGCATATGTCTGCCGGCACCAGAACTGTTAGTGATACTGTACATGGTGAAAGTAGACAAAACCGACATCAAGTATATATCTCTCCAACTGAAAGGGCGAGCTTCGACAGCCATCCATCCACGAGGACATGGTGTCAATGTTAGCGGATGATGATCCATAAATTGTCACTGTTGCCGCTGATGAGAGGCTGAGTTCAAAGATGGTAAGAGAGAGCCTCCGGGATGATCCAGGGTGAGTAAAACCTTCAGCTGCCACCACTCAGGAAACAGTGGATACATATGATTGTTGATGACACATCACGTGTAACACTGCCAATATTGCTAAACAAACCAACTCACTCACTCACCCACAGTGCCAACAGCCGTGATATAGCTGGAATATTGCTAAACAAACCAACTCACTCACTCGACCACACAGTGCCAACAGCCGTGATACAGCTGGAATATTGCTAAACAAACCAACTCACTCACTCACCCACAGTGCCAACAGCAGTGATATTGCTGGAATATTGCTAAACAAACCAACTCACTCACTCACTCACCCACAGTGCCAACAGCCGTGATATTGCTGGAATATTGCTAAACAAACCAACTCACTCACTCACCCACAGTGCCAACAGCCGTGATATAGCTGGAATATTGCTAAACAAACCAACTCACTCACTCACCCACACTGTCAATTCAGCACAGAGCAACTCGTTTCTTTCCAGGTGTAAAGAAATGTGCCCCAAACAACTTCTCCGAAGGAGATATGGGATGGGTGCCCACGGTCGTCCGACAATGGAGCAGTGTAACAACACAGTATAACCGTCTACGCTATATGGAGAATCACCGAGTTACACATAGAATCTGGCTCTGGTCCCAGCGTTGGAGTACACGCAGAAAACAACAACTGGACGACAAGAGTGCACGGAATGTTAACCAGTCTTAATCTATACCACCACTTCGTCCCTCTTGAGAATAGATACTGTCCGAAGTTCGTTGTCCGTGAAGTATCCTCGAAAATGTACCAAGATTTCCATGGAAAAGGGAAATGTGAGTTAGCAAGCCCACATGGAAGAAATGTTGGGGGTAATAAGTTACGCAACTACAACAGATTTAAACTTTCTTGTGAAGCAGAAGCTTACGTTTTATCCAATATGCCTCGTCATTTTAAAAGTGCTCTTGCTAAATTCAGGTGTGGAGTTGCGCCACTGAAGATAGAAACCGGTCGATACACAAATATAGGGGAGACCGGAGTCAATATTGTAACAAGGGCGATTACTCTAAAGGTTTTCGCTCAAGCATGGTGTAGGTGAGTAGAGTTATTTCCCTTTGCTTTCCTGCGGTACACACCCAGGCGTTTTTCAGCTGCTCGCTCATGGCGAGATACAGTTGACGAAAAATTGTTTTTCACATAGGTAGGTAAATTTTTCACAAAACGTAATTAAACGTTCTTAATGCAGTAAATGTTGCTTGGTATGAAATTAACTGTTCAAGTGTAAAATTGAGGTAGAAATATTTGAGAAGCCCAAAGTTGTTAACATGTGACGTGGCATGAAATATGACTGCTACCATCGGGGGCAACTGTAACAATGTGTTACAATTGCCCCCTTGTAATTTCCCCTTGTGTTATGATAATGAAAAACAAATTATGATGAAAGTTTTCTGTTAGTTCTGTACTAATTTTATCATAGTAGAACATTTTCAGTGTGATGTTGATAGTATTAGCCCTCGGGTGACAGTTTTTGGTGTTATACTTTGTATTATATTTTGGGCGTACCAATACAAGAATTTTAAACCAAAACATCTTAAATGTCGACGGTGACAAAGGTTAAATTGATCAAGATAACCTCTTTCCACATTTTATCTTGATTTTATTTCGAAAATAAACGGATTGTTACATTTGAACCTTCTTTGTTACAATTGCCCCATCCGCCTGTTACAATTGCCCCGTGCTAGGGATCAATTGTAACACTTGCAGTCATTGCATTTGATACGTAATAACTTTGTAACGACATGATAGTGAACTTTAAATGACACCGATGTTTAAAACCAAGATGCCAATGTACTAGTTAATACCGATTAACTTTGTGAGCAGTCGACTATTATCGAATTACAAGAAGTTAAGTAAAAAGTGTTACAATTGACCCCGGTCTCCCCTACCATTAGAGGAGAGAATTTGTTTTAACTGCAAAGATCAAATAGTAGATGAATGTCACGTTTTACAGAAGTGCCCTCTTTATGCAAATAAGCGATCACAGCTTCTCTCGATGTGGTCGAAGACCCGGGTTCGAATCCCCACATGGGTACAATGTGCTAAGCCCATTTCTGGTGTCCCCCGCCGTGATGTTGCTGGAATATTGCTAAAAGCGGCGTAAAACCAAACCCAGTCAGTCAGTCAGTCTCTCGATGTGTGAAAATGCCGAACCCGATGTTACTAACTTCTGTGACACAAGCAAACTAGATTTTATCTTTTTGTTTTGTAGCTGCCAAAACCTGCCATCTTATTCTCGCTGCGAGAAGGAATTGGTTATATGTGCATTAATATCTTTAAATGCATATTTATAGGTGAATGTAAATTTATATTTTCATTTTTATTACTTTTATGTTAATTTTACTATTATTTATTATATAGCATTTTATAACATTTGTATTTTATTCATGTATATACATCTGTAATATAATCAGTTTCTGTCTCCCGTAACACTATTAAGAGCTGTGAGACTAACACGGTTAAACAAGACTAATTCAGAGGTGCACTCATCTTCGATAATCTCCAGGGTGTACGTTACGATCACTCTCCACGATATATAGTGGAGAGTGATCGTAACGTATACCCTGGAGATTATAGTGGAGAATGATCGTAACGTATACCCTGGAGATTATCGAGGATGAGGTGCAAGATGGTGGTGCAGCACACCTTTAGGAAACCTGTGAATTAGTCTCTTGTCTACATGACCTTTAACGAATATCACTAGTCTGGGCTCCATCAGATTTTCACCTTTTCCATAACTTGAAAGAAGAACCCTCTGACAAGCATGATGAAAATGGTATCATTTCTGATGTAGAGGATTGTTCACCACAGTGACAAATACCAATACCATCCGGGCATTCGGGGGAATTATGATGAAAAATAATCAGCAGCCAGCCCAATGAACAGGGTCTTTAGTTGGCCTCTGAACTTTACACGCGCCACTCATGCATCAACGATGGTTTGTTCCAGAATCAGGGACACAGTTTCTTGTTCAGTCAAGGTCTTTGACCACAGGTACAAACCAAATATTCACCTCGATCCTTCTTTCAACTCAATGTCATCCACGTGCTTGTTGGTGTATTACTTTAATTTCGTGTCATAGCTATAGCACTGCTAAACACAAACACTAAATGTGACCCCAACTTACATCTACAATGTGGCAGATCCATGGGATCAGCGAGTTATATACACAACTGGCATAAAGTAACTGTGCAATATTATACAATTATAGACTGGTGATAGGGTCAATAAGTGTTTTTTATGGACCCGCGAAATGCAACATTGACCGAGGACGAAGTCTGAGACAGCAGAACATTCTGGTACTGCCCTGGCCAACTGTTTCATCTGGACAGCTCAGATGGCAGGGCAAGGATTTTTGTGTGATTTTTTCGCTAAAAGATAATAACATGATTTGTGGTGTTTTCTTTAATCACGGTTTAACTGTTGACAGGATAATATCGAAATCTGTATGATTTGACAGAAGGCATCGTGACACGCCCTTCAAGAGATGTGGTGACAAAAGTCACATAGACGACACTAAGCCAATGAAGAAAGCCTGGGGAATGTTGTTCCATGACTGAGCCAGCACTTGTACCAGTTCAACTGACGTCAATGGCTGATTCTGGGCTTGACGTAAACGTCGCTCCATTTCATCCAAAGCTTACACGATAGGGGTGTGACGTGATAAAACCCCATACCATAACGCTTTCGCAAACAAACTGTCGACGTTGAATAATGCACGCGTCAGCATAACGTTCATGTCGCCGTCTTTTCATCCTTGCCCTGCCATCCGAGCTGTCCAGATGAAACAGTTGGCCACTGGAGTACCAGAATGTTCTGCTGTATCAGCAAATCTGTCACAGCACGAGCGACATGTGGACAGGCATTAACTTGCTGATGCGTGAAGTTACGTCTCTGTCCTTGAATGAACGTCTGCACATGAGGCCCAATGATCTCATCCCTGTATCGCAGACCTGTCAAAGTATCTTTGACAATGACAAGTTGTGTGTGGACAAACCACCCACCCCCACCCCCTAATACCATAACGCTGTCGTCACAAAACTGTCGACGTTGAACAACGCACGTGTCAGCATAACACAATCTTGTTTCCTGTACAGTAGATGCTGTCTGCACCATACGTGCCTGTCGGTGGGGTTGGAGGAAATTGGACGCATTGCAGGCCGTCGGGCCGGATGTTGTGCTCCCTCAGTCGGTTCTGTACAATCCTGGGCCATGGTTTTCGAAGCTCCCTTAGCGCTAAGATAGTCATAACTTAATATTAATGTATGGCACTTACGACTATCTTAGCGCTTACAGAGCTTCGAAATTCTAGGGCCTGGAACTGATTGGACGTAAGCCAGGAATGGTCCGAGCAGTCTAACTGGCAGTCTGGAATCGACTACACAGATGGGGGTTGCTAACGTGACATGACGCGTTGACAGCGTCCGAAGCAAATATCTACTGTTTCCATTATGTTGAAATCATCTAGAGATCGTGTTTCAGACTCGGGCCTGGCCAGTGTGGCCACTTCATTTTGGGCCTTTTCGTTTCCAGCATACCTACGTCGAGGAGACACTGATTTTCTGTAAGCCGTGGCATGACGTACACGCAGTGTTTTCCACAACATTCACAAGTCAGAGAATAATAAACCCTTCAATTTTTCAATATCAGGTGTGTGAACTCCAGGTGTCAAACAACATGCAAACAGTAAGTTCATTGTGCACAAAGTGCACCTCACGCGAAATACGTGACATCAAAGTGCTTTGTTATGTTTCTTTTGGGTTATTGTTATAACTTTTCAAATAACTTTTAATTTACGCAATTTTATGTTATGCACAGTTACTTTTATCCGTTGGTATACGTTATGCATCTACTCTGGTTTGTCTGTACCAGGTCAAAACTCCATGGGCCATATTCCTAGGATCCACAATGATGTTTCCTTCACCAGACTCAAACTCTTGCAAATATTCACCAACATATATGACTGTGGGTCAAGTCTTCATCAGTGTTGCTTTCTCGCCTTACATATATTTCTTGTACTGGCATGCACAGCACACGAAACTGACGGTAACAGATTTACATATAAACGGCAGACTGGAGCTGGAGCGGGAACAGTGAGAAACAACACCCACACTGATGTACATGGTTTATTCTACACATAGCTACACGCATGAACAGTGATGAAAGCCATACTACACTGCACATTACACACTCGGGAAAGGGATAACAGGCCACTTGACCTACATCATGATGTTTAAAACCAAATCTATTCATATAACCAATGTGAAACAACATTCTGAAAAAGGAATCACGCACATTTCCTTGTTTTCAGTTTCATATACAGCCAGCTATACTGAGGTCATGGACCCACTGTGGAGGATCCTGAGGTTTCATGTAGCCTGAGATGGCTGGCCACCTTACACTTATGACACATGAGGTCGGCATGTCAGCTGAGTCAGCAAAATATACATCAGCTGACACATCAGCTGACAGTCATTAAGCATCTTACATCATTACTTGTCAGACTTCACTTTTCAATATAAAATTAGTCTCTGACCTTTGCGTCTCTTTCACTTTAATGCCTCTCCTTCTTAAATGCCATGGTGTAAGCAATGTTCATGATGAACTGTACACAATCATTCATTGCGTGATCAATAATATACTCTGGTACACTAGGCCAGGACACATACGGTGACAATCTATTCCTTATACTTATCAGCTGAAACCACCACAGGACCCTCCATGGGGCCAACAGTCCAGGGCTCACTCTGGGGGCCAACAGTCCAGGGCTCACTCTGGGGGCCAACAGTCCAGGCCTCACTATGGGGGCCAACGGTTTGGGATTACAGAAGCAGTGCTGTAACTTTGTTAATCATTGGGATATTTTTTTTCTATTTTGTGTGTCTCAGCACTGACAATATCAGTTGATGTAGAAGTGAAAAGTCATCGTATGACTAACTAATTACGTGTTGTGTGAAGCTGAAATGCAATTTGATACCAAAAAGAGGAATATACCTCTAGTTAACTACATGTGTAAAGCACCAAAAAAAGTGGTTCTAAAACAGCAAATGTAGGGACTTGCACAAATGACGGTCCATGTCATATTAACTTTAAAGATTTTACATGCTTTCTTGTAAGTTCTGATATCCAAACCTTCTTCTCTTTGGACCTAAAAAATGTTTTGATCTTCCAAAGGTAAAGAAAATGCATATACTTGAGAAGCTTGACATGAGTATTAACACTGTAATGTCACTGCAAACACCAACTACTGCACTAGCACTACACTGCTGGTAAAGTCATAAAGAACAACACAATTCAAAAACAATGAAAACGGATGAGTACTTGCATCAAAGCTATCAAATAATGTCTCTTGCACAGCACAGATCTTTCAATACATAATACTTGTGCAAATTAGAGAGAGTGAGTTTAGTTTTACGCCGCATCAGCAATATTCCAGCTATATGGTGGCGGTCTGTAAATAATCGAGTCTGGACCAGACAATCCTGTGATCAACAGCATGAGCATCAGCCTGCGTGTGCAAATTAGAAACTAATGGACATCAAAGAAGATTACAAGGGTAACTGATATCACTTGTTCTGGTGCAGTTGTAGGCCGGTGATGATCATGAAGTATAATGAAGTAAAACGTACAAGTGTCATTTCTCACAACCACTTAACCAAGCACTAAGTCCCTTACTTTCCTTGTAACATCGGTCATGGCACAATCATTAAATCCTTCCATAACCTAACTTAATAAAGGAGAGTTCTTCAACTCCACCCTGATATAACTATCATCTCTTAACTACAAGGCACAGACATCACATGGTGGGATAAGTTCTTCATAGCCTCAGTTGGTGCATAAATCATATATGTACTAGTTTCAACCACTGGGAAACATCATAATGGTAGGCCCAGGTTTCACCTTTCAGCCAAACATTAAAACTGCACTAAACACCAGGATAATCAGTCTGCAGAGAACTGCTTTAGTCTCAGTCATGAAAATAACAACAGCAATATCCAATTACAAGGAAAAATAATGATAGAGCATTAGAATCCCAGTTGTAAGACTTCAATCAGTTTCCCTTAATCAAAATCTAGATAAAATAGAAAAGGAAACATTTCTACAGCATATACACGGGTTGTCATAGATACAAGAGTTGCAACTTGCACTAATCAGATTGTCCCAAACAGAAGACTGACAACTCAAACGGTTTTGCTGCATAGAAACAGCTAATTTAAGGGAGAGGCAGCCAAGCAGCTAGAGGTTCGTGTATTCGGTGGTTAAGATGAAGAAGCATGTTCGATTCTCCACATTGGCACAATGTGTGAAATTTATTTTGAGTGTTTTCCGCCGTGATATTGCGAAATATTGCTAAAAGCGGCACAGTACCATAGGTGGCCTCAGCTCAGGTAAACTGGGATACCCAGCCAGTTATTCTAACACTGCCTTGCCTGTCTGCTACTTTTAAGTTTTATCATGAATATCAATCTTACAGTTGACAATTAAACTAATTTACACAGAAACAATGGCTCCAGCCCATATATAACATTGCTAAAAAGGTCCTAAATATTTGTTTATATATTGGAAATTGGCACCAGACCTTGAAGCAGTCACCTTTTAACCTTTTAAGTCAGAATGCACTTGAACTAGAAACAAACTCAGGGTTTCAAAACAGTTTATTTTCTAGGAGACTGACTGTTATTCAAATCTGGTGATGTTATTGACCAATGTCCTATCGAAGTTTAATTATATCATGAAACTGCCATTTGTCTGCAATAAAGTCACTGTAACTGTACATGTGATGAACTCTTTGGCCACTTAACATGGCCTTGCAGGACCATCTTTAAGTACATAGTGTCAATCTGTGGTTTCCTTACACCTGTCAAAGTGCTCATTTGAGAGTGTTGAGATCAAAAGGATAGATTCATTGTTACACTCTAAACATCCATATAGCATCATGAAATTAGGAGAAACCATACTATATTTTCTTCAGTGCTAGACATTAGAATATGACACGGACAAGATATTCAACAAATATGAATCCATCACCTGTTTCATGGATATCATTCATTTTATGTGAACACAGAGGCCTTTCTTGCCCCAACCTTTTTGTTCTATTTTGACAACATTCCAACAATTTTAACAGTCTCTGAGGTTCAGAGCAAAGTAATCTCATTTGTTTACAAGCCCATCCCATATCAAAGGGTCATCCAACCAATGCACACTGCTATCTATAAATCTATATCAGATCTAGACATGTAAAGTTATGAAATGTACACATATTTACATTAATAAATTACAGACTGTCCCCTGTCCATTACTGTCATTTTCAATTTTTCTATTATGATATTCCAAAACGGCAAGTACACACGTATTAAATAAGGAGACACATGAACAGGAATATGTTAGTACTCATTAACCATAATGCTTTAGATCAACGCTGTTAGACGAACACTGCAAAGTTTCTTCTTTACACATTTCCAACAAAATAATTCATTACAGTTCTAAAATAACATTTTGTTTGCAGATCATCTACTATCCCTGTTACTAATTTTCGTTGGAGATAATGCTAGTCACATCAAAACTATCAACTTGTGACAAACTGCCCTAAAGGAAAGCTTTGAGTGTCTCATTAAAGCTTGGTATACCCAGTAGACATTGGAGCATTGTGAATCAAGGCCAGCTAGACTGGTCCATGGATGGAGAGTTGATGATGAGGTGTGCTGTCTACACACGCAGTCCGTTCCGTTGGGCACTCTCCAGCGTCTCATAACGTACGTCCCGTGACCGACACAGCAGGATGCAAGCGCTGATGAGGCCGAGGATCTGTGGAGATAACACACATGAAGTCAGCCAGTGGTACAGATAAGCTGCGTATCTGCGTAAAGTACACAAATATTTATGTGAAACCTCAATTCTTATTCAATCTGTTGCATACAAGTATGCATGATTTTTTGTAAATACTCAATAAATGTCATCTTACATGCATACACAAAAATATCAAACCTTAGCTTGTGTACCGGTGGATAGATAAAATAACTGAGGTATATTGAGAGGTTCTATTTCAGGACATGAACTTGGCAACTTGCAGTCTTTCTTATCGCTTCTCATATTAAAGATCAAATATAAATAACAAACACTAACATTTAAACTTTATAATATTTTTTAAAATAAATGGAAAATGGCAAAATATCCAACTGAGTTTGAATGAGGTGAGTACAATTAATTTGGTTACTCAAAGGAAAATTAAGATGTGACCCAATTGAGATGAACACAAGTGGGTACTCAATGACCCCAAAACTTATCTGTAGCTCTGTCAGTACACAACACATCACCAACAGAAAGTACCAGGTCAGCTCACCCTGGTACTGACGCATCAATCCAACAAACTACAAACACACATCCTGTTTAACAAAACATGACACTGCTGTTCCTTGTTTTATCGCCTGCATAGGTTTAGATAGTGCTTCAAGCAAGTGGGTGAGGTCAGTGTAACACCACAGTAAACAGTAATATATCACTGCATCCACACGAAGGGATATGATGACATGCAACAACCACGCCAGTCAGTCTGACCACATGATCCATATAGTCGCCTCTGAGTTACTGGAGAGGATTTCTAACCCACTCTCCAACAACTCGGCATAACACCACTGCCACACACTTATTTGCATATCACTTCATCAGACGCCATTTCTCCTGTTTGTAAACAAACACACTTATCCTCCATTCAACTGCCTAGCCAAATGCAAGCCTTTCATTGTGCTTTAAACACTGCTTCATAAAATTCAAAAGATATGTGCATGACAACTAGCTCTATCTAGGGCTTATTGTCAGCGGACAGAGCAGCACCAGCTATGAAACATCTTTAATGGATGTATAACCCCATGGCGTTTACGTGTGCCAAGCTGGATACATACAGGGGTGGAAATAACCCATTGCTCGACGTCCGAGTCCAGTGTTTTTTTCTGTCGGGCAAGCAAATTTGTATATCACACTGTACCGGTGTCCAGTTGATTTTCCAATGTTGTTTATTTTAAAAATTCAACAAGAAAATGGCCGGTATAGTGGGAAAATTATCAGGGCAAGTGATTTTACATGTGCCACTGTTCTGGAGTACACTAGCAATTTTAAAGTTATTTCCACCCCTGATATAGAAGTCTGAGTGATCCTAAACCAGATCTTCACAGGTCAAAAGTCTGAAGTGATACAGGTCAGAGGTATTTACACACTCTGGTTAAGCAGCATCTGTAAATGAAGCCGACCCCCAAATAACCCCAAAGATGATGAGAATATCAGTATTATCTGAATTCCTCTTCCACAGCTACTGGTGGACAGTCACTGTCATGTGACTGATTCCAGACAATAAAGTTTTGGGTACACCTACAGAATACCGGATACCTACCAGCCATATTGTTTAGTGTCACGTCACCCTAACCCTAATGCTAACCCTAACCATAACCCTAAACCTTACCCTAACCCTAACCAAAAGTAGACTCGCGTGCTTTCAAAGATGGTGGACGGTATCCGGTATTCTGTAATCTTACCAAGTTTTGTGTCCTGTTAACCATAACTAACTGCACCAGTGAGCTGGTGAGCCAAAGATCAGATTTCAACTTACTCGATGAAAAATTCTTCAGTTGGATAGCAGATAAACATTCAAATTCCTTTTTAAGTTTTCCATAGTACAAATCAATTTTCCTGATTTCTCAGTGTTTAATATAATAACAAAGCTAAGCAGTGAGTGAGTGAGTTTAGTTTTACGCCGCACTCAGCAATATTCGAGGTATATGGTGGCGATCTGTAAATAATCGAGTCTGGACCAGACAATCCAGTGATCAACAGCATGAGCATCGTTCTATGCAATTAGGATACGATGACATCTGTCAACCAAGTAAGCGAGCCTGACACCCGATCCCGTTAATCGCCTCTTACGCCAAGCATGGGTTACTGAAGATCAATTCTAACCCGGACCTTCACGGGTTACAAAGCTAAGCAGAAGAGATACGAGAGGGAGTTGGAAAGTGATGGAATTATTTATCCAACACAGTACCTTTAAACTGGTCCCTAATGATAGACTGAAAAGACATGCATGAAGAATGACATGTATCGTCCGTGTTTGTTGATTACCTGGATAATGGCAAAGGCCACTGTCACTGCAGCAATGTAGACAAGGTTCATCAGGAATTTATCCTTCAGCAGATCCAGACAGCCCTGAAACATACAAAACATCAATACCTCTGTCAACAACCAGGACAATGAATACATGACACACTTTATGGATAACAACTTCCTTTTTTATTTCTTTATTACAATGTTTCAGAGTAAATCCTTGCTCCTTCATCATGTGACTGACAATGGACAAAACATTAATACAGTGATGAGAATGTCTCTGCTATTCTGAAATCAGTTACTGAATGCGTCCAGATTAAAGCCTAGCAGCTTGAAGGACATGTTTCCCATGAAATTAAGCAGTTTTCAATGCAGAAGTTTGTCTATGATTTGGAACTAAATGCCCTTTGCAGGCAAACTAGAGAAAAGAATCACAATTTTTTTCAAAAGGAGCTATTTTATGAAGTTTACATTTTCTGATATTAGGATGTATTTAACCATCCACTGGTATTACTGCATTAAACATTTATACAGCAAATAATCCAGACAAGATAAGGAAGTATAAATGATATATTTAAATTTTATATGTGTATTGAAACCATACCTCTTGGTAGATGTCTGTTCCCTTAAGTGATGGAAAACAGCTTGTGGTGTTCTTACAGCAGCTCATGGGAACCATGGTTGTATTCCCCCAGGCTGGAGAAGTGGACCAGTCCGAGGCATTGTGAATCCCGCAGCACTTGAGGCTGGAGCTCAAGGACTCAGCAAACACACAGGACAAGAATGTATAGCATACAAGAATGTATAGCATACAGGCTCAGAAACACACAGCACTTGAGCTGGAGGACAAGAATGTATAGCATACAGGCTCAGAATCACACAGCACTTGAGCTGGAGGACAAGAATGTATAGCATACAGGCTCAGAAACACACAGCACTTGAGCTGGAGGACAAGAATGTATAGCATACAGGCTCAGAATCACACACAGTGCTTGAGCTGGAGGACAAGAATGTATAGCATACAGGCTCAGAAACACACAGCACTTGAGCTGGAGGACAAGAATGTATAGCATACAGCCTCAGAATCACACAGCACTTGAGCTGGAGGACAAGAATGTATAGCATACAGGCTCAGAATCACACAGCACTTGAGCTGGAGGACAAGAATGTATAGCATACAGCCTCAGAATCACACAGCACTTGAGCTGGAGGACAAGAATGTATAGCATACAGCCTCAGAAACACACAGCACTTGAGCTGGAGGACAAGAATGTATAGCATACAGGCTCAGAATCACACAGCACTTGAGCTGGAGGACAAGAATGTATAGCATACAGGCTCAGAATCACACAGGACTTGAGTTTTTAAGTCCAGGCAACTTGCATTTTGTCGAGTCACCTGATTTAATTAAAACGTGTAAATAACAAGTTACATATATTTCTAATGGGGAAGTAAAAACCGGATCTTACCTCCTCCTGAATATAGTCAATTTGATTTTTTTCAGCAGTCTCATTGTAGTTATTGATCGCATCCTTCAGACCAGTGTCAAGTACATCTCTCACCTGAAACAGAGATTATTATTTAAAACACAAACATGGTCAACCATCATCAAAGGTCCATATCAAGATGATCCATCCACATGATCCTCCCAAATGATCCATATCAACATGTCAGGCAGCCTAATCCAATGTTCATCAAGATACTGCATCTACATGTGTCAAGGTGAGCCACTGACTCCCTGTAACCTGTGTCCTGTCTGACTGGTCAACATCATAGACTGGAGATATCTTGGTTATACAGGCATTTTATGTCCGACCAGAAACTAAAGGTCCCCTTGGCAGGCAAACTGGTAAAAGGAACAATATTCTATTCAAAGTGGGAAGTTTACAAATGCTTCACTAATGACAATGAATCATGAACAGAAAACTCACATCATTCCTGAACACATAGCCCATTGTAGCTGCGACAACCTCCGCCAAGAACACCAGGAGAATCAGCGAGAAGAACTGCAAAGTAAAACAAGATGTGCACTTTCTTGTTGCCAAAACATCAAACCGAGTGGAAGTTATATTGTGTTTAATAAGAACTAGACTCACACTATAGCAATACTGGCAAGGTACGTACTTACCGGTAATAACATACAGCTACATGGAATCAATATCAATACACCAGTGACTATAGAAATCTGATAAAATGCAAATATATTCCATGCCAGTAACAAGTCACTTCTTAATAATTAACAGACCCAAATCTGTGCAACCACACAGATGAAATCGTGATGTATTTCCTCTCATACATGTGACATGGTCAAAAGACATTTACCTCAGTTGTTCTGCTGCTAACAGGCACCACCATGATAAGTATAAGTCTAAGCCAGTGAATGTGTGCAAACAAATCATTCAACAGGCAGAGAACCTTAACCATTATTGTAGACATTTTGTAAGAAGCCTGAGACTTTACTAACCCCCCAGAATACCCTAACCACTAGAGTACTGGGGTATTGGGATAATGTCCAATTACAACCTCTGTAATAAAATCAGTGTAACACTTACCGCTGCTAACAGGCACTTGTTCTCCTTACATGCAGCGATGCAGCCAAGGAGGCCAATGATGAACATGAAGATGCCCACGCCGATGATGATGCTGGCTGGCACCAGGGTGAGGCTTGCCTCCGTCACCTCGTCAAAGTGGCTGTATGTGGAGTACACCCATGCTCCTATGAAGCAGAGGCTTGCAGCAGCACCCTGAAAGTATCAAAAACTGTTGTAACCATGGCATCAGGTTGGCCCAAAGATCACCCTTAAAAACTCGCAAACGAAGGTGTCCATGGTAGATCTGTAAGATCTGGAGGCCTGCAGATCACAGAAAGTTAAGGTGGAGTGAAGGTCAGTATGTTTGCATATTCTTAGGTTAAGCAATAAGCCATCTTACCATGCCTGCCACATTTTCAGAGGTAATTTTGTACGTCAATCTTTCCCACAAGTACCCGTGTGGAGCACACCTTGCAGCTGTATAAATGAGCATTCAGCATTCTGTTCAGTCAGGGACACATTAGTAGTCATCTTATCCCAATCATGTTATCAGAATCAGATAAACTGAATCATAGTTTTACACAGGATATTTAATAAGTAATTAAGTCAATTGTCAATTCCTAGCAAAGGAAATCATATCAACCTTAAATTTCAGTTCTATTCTAAACACAGCCTGGGATGCTTTCAAAATTATTTTAATTACTGTTCACAGTAAAAGTTGTAATCATTGCAGGTGTGAAGGGAATTAACCAGTGTCCCAAAGCATGGCATTACAGTGATTGCCCGAGGCATAACAATGTAGGAGTCATCAGAGGGAGTCATGGACATGTTTTACTTAGGGAGTAAACTTCAGTTTAGAAATTTAATCAAGACATCAACTGTGATTGTTTAATAACGACAAAAAGCAAGGTAAGGCAGGTCAGGTATTTAGTCAGCACTGAGCAGTTAACCACGTTAACTGGCAAACATTAAACCAAGTATTTTTAAACAACAGCACATTACAAGTTTAGATTATCATAACTAAGGACCCAGTTGCATTGCGTCAACAATGATGCATGCTTCTAAATTCACTGTGTATTTGAGATAATTTATGCGTAAAATATGCATATTTTCTGCATCAGGGCAAACACTGGCATTACATTTTCAACACAGTTATATTACATTATGATAGGGCTGCAACAAAACCACTAAAAGGCAAATATGATACATATCACGAATATTGGGTAACAAACAGTTGAAGTATTAATAACAAAATAAACCATGACATGTTTTGACCATGTGAATTTATCATGACAATGACCAGTGATGACCAGTGACCACATTACTGTTATATTAAATATATAACGGTGTTGACTATTATCCTACCTGGTTTTGATATATTCCATTTGTATATCTCCCTTTGATAATAAATCCCCAATTCAAATGAAAACAACCCTTTTAATAAAATTTATGAATATTCAATTCTAGTGATCATGAATAATGAGTGAGTGAGTGAGTATGGTTTTACGCTGCTTTTAGCAATATTCCAGCAATATCACGGCGGGGGACACCAGAAATGGGCTTCACACATTGTGCCCATGTGGGGATTCGAACCCGGGTCTTCGTCGTGAAGAGCGGACGCCTTAACCACTAGGCTACCCCACCACCCTCATGAATAATGAACTGAATTCAGGAAGGGGTACAGCTTAATTCAACAAATATTCAAGTTAATTGTAACCCTATATTATAAGCAGACAAATCAAACCGAAAAGGATCAAAAGAAATGTATTCCAGAGTCTGAACTTCAGCTTGAAAGGTGGTGTCATTGCCAAGAACCTGAAGTACAGATTGAAAGATGAGGGTAGCTCGATCTAAATCCAAGCAACTTAAGGACCACAACAGGGATTCGAACTTCACACCCTCAGAGTCAGGCACCTAATCGCCAGCACACAAAGTCAATCGCCTAACCCGCCCAGCTACTGCGACTTCAACAAAAATGGAAGTCGGACAACTGGTAGTCTAGACTGCGGCCTTTATGTACCCCTCTGATAAGTGTTAATTGGCACGGCTCCCACGGCCGAAAGCTATGATTGGGCAGCTGACTTTGTGTGCTCCTCGGTGACAAATCACACAGCCACTAAATAGTGCCGGTACTAAATAGTGCATCAGCGATTATCGATGAGTTCGGGAGACTAATCGATATTCATGAAAAATGAAAAATCAAATTAAACTAGGAGGTAAGTTCCTTATTGTTTGTTAAATCAAGACATAAACAATTTATGCAGTTTCCTGACACATAAAACAGCAATATAAAAAACATATCCTTGATCATCTTGATTGTAGCATCAATCGGTGCCTGTTTCATGATTTGCACGGTGTGTTATAATGTTTCCCCATTATTGCCCACATGAGTCTTGTAGCAAGGTGTATGATGAAAATCAATTATTGATTAGTGAGCTCTAATTATTAATCTGCATTTTGTCAGCAATAACCAGCACTACCACTAAATAAATGACACCACCATTTTGTTCATGCTGTGATGCACACATGCTTATTGTTTAATCATCAGGGGAGTCAGTTTATTTCAACCAGTTTCTCCACTTGAGCGAACAGACTCCTTCTCCGTTACAATGCAGTAAACATTAGAAATAATGCATATAAAAATAAACTCAGGGCCAAGCTGTACTTCAGGGCATTCAACAGCGATGTGAATCCTTGAGAACAGAGGCCAGGCTGCAAAGGCATATGGGCATTATGATATTAATTGCTACATCATTTCTGAAATACCAAATGTTTTGTGAATCCTACTGTGTATTAATCGGGTCCGGATTTCCATCATTGTCGTGTTTTTCGTAAGTTTATATCACACCAACTGTCACAGTGAATAAACTTTAAACATTATTTCTGAGTGTTCCCCTCAGGCACTGGAAAGTCATTTCAATTATCCCTACTACACAAGAGTAGAAGAATTTCAACCAGTCCCATGTATGTTCAATTCATGTTTCTTTGTTGTAAATTGCTGCACTCAGCATTGTCAGCAATATTCTAGCTATATGACAGTAGTGCGCAAATAATAGAGTCTGGACCAGACTACCTAATGATTTACATCACGAGCTCTATCTACACAATTGTGATGTGATGACCTGCAACCAAACCAGTGAGCCTTACCACCTGATCCTGTTAGTTGCCTCTTAGGATAAGCATGGGTTGCTCAAGATCAGTTCTAACACTAACAGATCTTCACATGTCTCCCATGTATGTACAAACTGCATACCAACAATCAAACTTCACTGAACATGGCTAAGGTGCAAAGGGAGGTAACCACACCAAGCAACCTCTTTCATACAAAATTGATTGGGCTGTTATTGATTTGAATAGTAAAGATCAATAATCTGCAGCATAACTGTAGACAACATGACGTTTAAGACTGCATGCTGTCCTACTTTCCTGGTTGGTGTCAGTATCGATCCAGTGTATCCAGATGTAACAGTTCTACAACCAGTAGCAACTTTTCATTAAAAGTCCTTATATTCCTGACATACAACTCTGTGAAGGGAATGACTCACAAAGAGAACAACAGAAGCAATCTTTTCAGCTATTTTCGCTTGATATACACAAAAACGTTCCTTCAGAAGGCATCAGGTATTCCATAGACTGAAGTTCACTTCATGTGAAACACTTATGATTTGTGCATATCCATTATACATTTGTTAAACTATCAACCTAAAAGGAAATTCTTTTTGTTTATATATGGAATATATGTTTACCTGTCCATATGTAAAATATATTTTCATGTATTTATATAGAACATTTACCTGCTATTATGAAGAATATATGTTTAGCTGTATATCTCTAGAAATGTATTACCTATTTAAATTTAGAACATAACCTGTTTAATGCACTATTGTAGAATTTTTCTACCTGTTCATATGACCAGTTCTTAGTAAGAAATTGAGATATTTTTATCCAAGTCAGTAGCAAATGTAAGCACCTATTGTAAGTACTGGTATCCTCCAGGATGGAAAGTTGACTGCAACATCATCAAAAAGTGTCAATCCACACTCACACTATACCACTATCTAACAATACCATTCAAATAGTTTTGCATTAGCACTCTCCAGATTACTGCAATATTACATATTTTTGCTTAAATTTCCTTGTAAATTCACAAGCTACATATCTATTAATAACATGTAAAGACAAATAGTAACACACAGCACCTAAAGTTTACATACCTAAATGAAAATGTACAATACAAGTTTTCAATTCCAGCGTAATGCAAGACCTTTAACAAATTAAATTCCAGACTGGTACATATGCTCTCTCTCTCACATCTTCCATGGTTAGACTCAGTATTGGTCTCAGGTCTGCTGCATGATTTCCATATTTGTCTTGCTTCTTTAAATGTGTGTCCTGGACACAAGTAGTTTTTCATGAAACCCTCTCATGATTTCGTAGTTCAGATATGGAGGCTGTTATAAGTCACATTGTTTGACACTGACTATACTGTCAATGGTCCATAGGACCAGCACATAGAAAGGTGTTATGTTGGGTCTCTGCTGGACACAATGCTGCTGACCAATAAGGGTTTTAAATGGTGTTCATACTAATTTTATGATGATTAATGATTAAACAATACTCACATGGAAATTAGATCATATATATTGAGGTGAGCAATCACGCCAATTAGAATGAGTGAGTTCAGTTTTACACTGCATTTAGCAATAGTCCAGCAATATCACGGTGGGGGACCAATTAGAATGTGAAACCAGTCAAGAAGGTAAACACTGTAGCACGTAGGGTTGTTTAGGTTGCTGGCTTTGCCCAACATAAATTACTTTGATCCTAAAACAAGTACAAGACCACCGATTACTTAATTATGTTAGTTAGCATGAAAATATACTAGACTTGGACTAGCAAACCAGCGTTAGTTTTCAAACACTGAATATCTCCAATTCTATTATTGTTAACTGACGCTGATATGGAATGAAAACATTGGATATTTCCCATTGCATAACCATATCAATCTATACATCAAAGTTACTGCCATGATCTATATGACCGATTAGATGTGAACTCATAAAGCTCCTAAGTAATACAGATTATGTTTTACAAACATTTTTTTGTTACAGTCATCTACTTCTTTGATTGTGATTAACACAAGGTTTCACCAATTTCTCTTTTGAGCATACACAAAGGTACCTAGAGTATGCAAACATACACCAAAAGATGCCTGGAGTAGAGTTTGGTTGATTATTGTACACAGAAAGGGACGTGGATACATTTGAGGGTAAAGGTATCTAGGGTAATTTCTCCCGTGCCTGCGACATCTACAACTAGATTCCTACCTTACTTCCAATACGAAAGATACACGCAGTGGTTATGTCCTATCGAAACCAACCGCATATAAAATACACTTCTATAATAACTCGAAAATAATTATATGCCCAAAATTGTGAAGGAGAACTGTCCGAGTGTTGTACACGGATTTAGCTGTCTCGTGAGTCTCCATTGACATTAGATCGTGTTTTTGTTGAGGAAACGTCATGGCGCGCCATGTTTTCATGACTCAAAAACGTTGTCAAAATCTTACCCAAAATATCAATCCAACCACAACTAAACAGATCTTGGAAGTTACAGTACATCCACCAGCCATGTTGCCGAATGTCGTTGATAAAGTTCTCTCAGTAACAACAGTTGATGATAAACACGCTCTTGTCTGATTTACCAATCGTCAGAAGTTCTTCCGTCATGAGATATTTATAGAAAGTCATGTGATTCCCTCATACTCTCAAACCACATGCGTCGCCGTTTTCTGTTTAATATTAAACCACGATTTTGTGTTATACATATATGTATACTATCTGAATAACCATATTATATTTGCAAGACATATCATAACAAAATAATATTCTACCTTCGTAAATAATTGCAGCTATGACGTCCAAATAGGTAATCTTGGGGCCCTATTTGGGTTGTTTTCAATTACATATTTATTAATATGTGTTCGGTCAACAGTTATTGAACAGTCAAACTATTACCCATTATAGCTCCCATAACAATGAGAAATCACGTGACGGCTAATTCTTTGAACAAAGTATGTTGTTTTTACGTACGTGCCTCGGTATGGGTATATTCCGCCCGCCGTGATGTTGCTGGAATATTGCTAAAAGCGGCGTAAAACCAAACCCAATCAGTCAGTCAGTCAGTCAGTCAGTATATTCCGCCTACTTCAGTAAACCTACATACATAAACACTTTCTTTTGGTAAATCCACAGTGCAAGATAACAATGATTAATCAATCAAGTGATATATGTGTTAATCATTCGATCGGCGGTTTTTGCTGCAGAACTAACGATGTTAGTCCTGCAACGCTGCCACTTGCATACAGGGGCGGATGGCGGATACAGCTTTTTGAGAAAGATTGGTGGGTGGGACAGTTCATTTTCACCCGTTTTCAATGGTCATTTAATAAACTTTCAGGACAAAGGGTGGGTGCGTGCACCACACGCGCACGCACGCACACACCTAGCTCCACTGGGTCCGCCTGTGGAATATTACATAACATTCCTTCACAACATGAGACGTGGATTCATTATCCAGTCCTTGGTCGAATAATTACACCTAGACACCCAGCTATATGGCGGCCGTCTGTAAATAATCGAGTCTGGACCAGACAATCCAGTGATCAACAGCATGAACATCGATCTGCGCAATCAGGAACCGATGACATGTGTCAACCAAGTCAGCGAGCCTGACCACCCAATCCCGTTAGTCGCCTCTTACGACAAGCATAGTCGCCTTTTGTGGCAAGCATGGGTTGCTGAAGACCTATTCTACCCCGGATTTTCACGGGTCTTGAGTATGAAATGAGTCAAATTCCGTGCATATTTTTGTTGTATACTAAACTACATAATTATACATGAACATTTACCCACGCATACGAATTTACAAGCTTTCGGAGTTTAGAAGGAATCTTTTAAATCAAATGCGAACTAGTCCTCCTGAGCTGGTCCGAGGCCCCGTGTGTGTAAGGTCGGACCACGATTAGATCATGGCAATGAAATGAAAATAGAGCCGGCTAAACCTCTGAGAGGTTGGGTGTTGTTTCCCACTAACAGTCCGAAATAACTCTGTCCATATGAACAACAGGTACGTAAAGCACGACGCACAGATATCAAAGAGTGATTTTGCACCTGAACAGTCCCAAGCTTTCGTCATGGAACTTCGAACAAGCCTCGGGGTCTTTACTGCTGAAATTGTCACACCTCAATTAAGAGTCATGCCTTACTTCCACGTCACGACTTTGTGATGTTTATAAATGGTGTTTGTGAATATGTGTTGGGAAATTGGACAATTAAGATATCTTACCGATCAAATACTTCTATGATCCGTGAAGATCCGGGTTAGAATTGGTCTTCAGTAACCCATGCTTGTCGTAGGAGGCGATTTACGTATCCAAATTGCGTAGATCGATGCTCATGCTGTTGATCACTGGATTGTCTGGTCCAGACTAGATGATTTACAGACGGCCGCCATATAGCTGGAATATTGCTGAGTGGGGCGTTAACAACAAACAAACCAGCCAACACAATTGCTTAGATCGATGCTCATGCTGTTGATCACTGGATTGTCTGGTCCAGACTAGATGATTTACAGACGGCCGCCATATAGCTGGAATATTGGTGAGTGGGACGTTAACAACAAACAAACCAGCCAACACGATTGCTTAGATCGATGCTCATGCTGTTGATCACTGGATTGTCTGGTCCAGACTCGATGATTTACAGACGGCCGCCATATAGCTGGAATATTGGTGAGTGGGACGTTAACAACAAACAAACGATTTTCAACAAAAACGTTTAGGATCGAGTGATCTGCCACAATATAAATGGATATCGTACGATAGAGGAAGGTAACTGACATTATACATGGATTTCATATCATAGTGGTAGATGTCTGCCTTTATACACGGATTTCATATCATGGTGGTAGATGTCTGCCATTATACACGGATTTCATATCATGGTGGTAGATGTATGTCATTATACACGGATTTCATATCATGGTGGTAGATGTATGTCATTATACACGGATTTCATATCATGGTGGTAGATGTATGTCATTATACACGGATTTCATACCATGGTGGTGGATGTCTGTCATTATACACGGATATCATACCATGGTGGTAGATCTCAGCCATTGTACACGGATTTCATATCATGGTGGTAGATGTCTGACATTATACACGGATTTCATATCATGGTGGTGGATGTCTGCCATTATACACGGATTTCATATCATGGTTGTGGATGTATGTCATTATACACGGATTTCATACCATGGTGGTAGATGTATGTCATTATACACGGATTTCATACCATGGTGGTGGATGTCTGCCATTATACACGGATATCATACCATGGTGGTAGATGTCTGACATTATACACGGATTTCATATCGTGGTGGTAGATGTCTGCCATTATACATGTCTGACATTATACACGGATATCATACCATGGTGGTAGATGTCGTCATTATACACGGATTTCATACCATGGTGGTGGATGTCTGCCATTATACACGGATATCATACCATGGTGGTAGATGTCTGACATTATACACGGATTTCATATCGTGGTGGTAGATGTCTGCCATTATACACGGATATCATATCGTGGTGGTAGATGTCTGACATTATACACGGATAATCATACCATGGTGGTAGATGTCAGCCATTATACACGGATATCATATCATGGTGGTAGATGTCAGCCATTGTACACGGATTTCATATCGTGGTGGTAGATGTCAGCCATTATACACGGATTTCATATCATGGTGGTGGATGTCTGCCATTATACACGGATTTCATACCATGGTGGTAGATGTCTGCCATTATACACGGATTTCATATCGTGGTGGTAGATGTCTGCCATTATACACGGATATCATATCGTGGTGGTAGATGTCTGACATTATACACGGATAATCATACCATGGTGGTAGATGTCTGACATTATACACGGATTTCATATCATGGTGGTAGATGTCTGACATTATACACGGATATCATATCATGGTGGTAGATGTCTGACATTATACACGGATATCATATCATGGTGGTAGATGTCTGCCATTATACACGGATATCACATCATGGTGGTGGATGTCTCACGTTATACACGGATATCATATCATGGTGGTAGATGTCTGATATTATACACGGATATCACATCATGGTGGTAGATGTCTGCCATTATACACGGATATCATATCATGGTGGTAGATGTCTGCCATTATACACGGATATCATATCATGGTGGTAGATGTCTGACATTATACACGGATATCATATCATGGTGGTAGATGTCTGACATTATACACGGATATCATATCATGGTGGTAGATGTCTGACATTATACACGGATATCATATCATGGTGGTAGATGTCTGACATTATACACGGATATCCACCTACAACGAAAAGTAGAAGGATGTATCAGATTAGTCTCACAAACCGACGCTGGAATATGTCAGAGACTGAACGATTGATCTACCTTTAAATGTTCACCATCCTGGATTACTCAATGTACATAAAGCCCTAAAATTCAGTTGTCAACACAACCTTTTATAGGGGTGACACTACCTCAGCCATTTCTGTGTCTGCTTCAGGGTAGAATTGCTTGCGCTCAAAAGAGTGATTTCTTGGGACGGCAATTCTAGCATCGTAACATTGGAATCGGGCTCTATCGGAAGCTATATGCTGAGTCCAGGATAATGACTCAGTCGCAATTGTGTGTCTGACATTGGTAGCACATTATGGCTAAAACTATACCCACTATAACTATATCACATTCCGTTAATTCATATTAATGTATTTAATAGTTATTACACACTAGCGAGCACTTCAGATATGTTTGTGGTAGTATTAATGACAGTGAGTGAGTTTTTGTTTTACGCCGCTTTAAATAGCAATATTCCAGCAATATCACGGCGGCGAGACTGTGTTGTGTGTATGGATTTGAAAGATATTTTGCATCACAATGTGCCTCCATCTGATCGCAAATCGTTGAAACACATTCAGGGATAACTCTCGAATAATTCATCACGGTAATTATACAGCCTACAACATCAGGCAGATATGACAAATGTACGTCTCAGTTCTGGTGTCAGTGCTGAACAGTTACTTTAAAACCTGTATATAGGTCTAATCCATCATGAGAAGGCGTATTGTACGTCTCCGTGGTGATTAAGTTTGATATGATTCACTAAGAGACTTTGTCTTCTTGATTTGACCAAATGAGTGAAACAAAGATGAGACCTATTAAACCGGACATGTAGCACCTTCTCAGGGCCTCGACTATTGCAACCATACTGCATTTTACGGCGCGGAAAGTGGGGTTCGAGGATAACCGGCGGGTGCCACGGGGAATCGCGTTCCTGTGCACGGTCTCCTGTTATTGACGGCCATTATTGGTCGGCTGAGAGAGTGACTACAGCCATGCTTTCGGCAAGACTAGCATCAGCACTAGCACGACAGCTCCCCAGAGCTGCACCTAAGGTACCAAAGTGTTCCTGTATATGCTTGCATTCATATTTTCCATGTGTTGTGTCACAGGCTGGAGAAATAACCGATTGCAGTAAGCTCTATGTGCTGATAGCAAGATCAACCCAAGGTCGCTGGATTTATATCGACATGCTTTCCCAGAACTACCGTCCAAATCGAATTAAACTGTTGCAATAACTAGGTAGACAGTCATT